TAACCGGGACCGACTTTTCTGGTCGCCGATCAGATCTCCGGCGGAGGTAACGATTCCGATTGTTGAAAGTAATGCAGAAACCCAATGTGTTTGTTTATTCTGCGATTTTCAGAACCCGAATTGATTCTGATGATTTTTCTTCGTGGTCAAAAGCTCAAAATCTGGATAAAAAGTTCGATTAGTCTTTTTGTGCAGTTTTTGATTACGAGGGCGAAGAGATGGATCAAGGAAGGCAAGTGTTTTCAGTTGATCTCCTCGAGAGATATGCCTCGAAGAATCGTGGTATGATTACATGTATGGCTGCTGGAAATGATGTAATCGTTCTGGGTACAAGTAAAGGATGGATTATCCGGCATGATTTCGGAGTTGGGAATTCTTATGGTATAATCCTTAATTTGTTACTTCAGTATTAAAAAAGTATCAGTTCATGACAAATCTTTGTTGTTTTTGGTTATAGATATTGATCTCTCTGTTGGTCGAACTGGGGAGCAATCGATTCACAAGGTTTTTGTTGATCCTGGTGGTAGCCATTGTATTGCTACAGTGACTGGTGTTGGAGGAGCTGAAACTTTTTATACTCATGCGAAATGGCCTAAGCCGCGTGTGTTGAGCCGCTTGAAAGGTTTATTGGTTAATGCTGTGGCTTGGAACAGACAACAGATAACAGAAGGTTTATGCTTTTGGTGTTTATATGAGAGTGATTCTTTTGTTTTGGTGAATCTTTTTACATGGATATTGATTTTGTTTTGTCTTTCACTGAATTCAGTTTCTACTAAAGAGATCATTCTGGGCACTCACGATGGGCAGCTGTTTGAGATGGCTGTGGATGAGAAGGACAAGAGAGAGAAGTACATCAAGTTTTTGTTTGAATTAGAAGAACTTCCCGAGGCCTTCATGGCTTTGCAGGTACTACCGTTTTGTTTTAAGTTGAAGCTATAATGGGAAATATGTTACTTTTGTTGATAGAACTTGTGGTTTATGTAGATATTTAAGTTTTTAGTTGTGGTTCTTTTGTTCGATTCAATGGGTTTGATAAGCCTGAATGAATTTTTGATAAGTTGAAAAGTTTTATCCTTGGTTAGAATTAGTCTCTGCGATTAAACCATGTTTTGTTCCTCTCATTTATTATTCCAGTCACTGTCTTTTATTGAAACAAATGTGTTAGATGGAAGCAGCCAGCACAAGCAGTGGAATGAGGTACTATGTGATGGCTGTAACTCCCACTCGACTCTATTCGTTCACCGGGATTGGAACATTGGAAGTAAGCTAAACTCTGTTCTGCTATGTGATCACTTCTGCTTCGGAATTATAATCATGAAAATGAAATGGTAGCATAGGAGATTAAGTGTAAGGTCCATGATATTATCGAATTGGGGACTTATGGAATAGTGATAAGATCAATATATTCCCTCTGGCTGGGCTTCAAAGGTGAAACCTGATTGTTCATCCCTTCAAATATCACATCAAAAAGTTTGGATCCAACCTTTCGTTGTTCAGATCCTGCTGCTTTCATATCTATGATTTCCTGAAATTGTGAATTAGCTTTCCTAATTACTAAGCGTTTACTTCCAGTCTGTTTTTGCTAGTTATAAAGAACGTGCAGTTCATTTTATGGAACTTCCTGGTGAAATACCAAACAGGCAAGTGCTTGAATTACCTTTGCCTCATTTTGCAAAAATCACAAAGCGTAAACTCTGCTCTCTTAACGTATAATGTTTGTTGTCTTTCAGTGAACTACATTTCTTTATAAAGCAACGAAGAGCGGTGCATTTTGCATGGCTTTCAGGAACAGGAATTTATCATGGTGGCCTAAATTTTGGAGCTCAGCACAGGTAGAATGACAGTACCGACGCTGCTCTGAATTTATTGCTGATACCTTTGTATTTGTTGCCATCTTTCATATTTTTGGTTTTCATTCTGTAATTTAATAGAAACTTGTTGATAGTTATCCAAATGGTGATGAGAACTTTGTGGAGAGCAAAGCGCTCTTGGACTACTCAAAACTGAGTGATGGCAGTGAAGTAGTTAAGCCTAGTTCAATGGCCCTCTCAGAGTTTCATTTCTTGCTTCTTATTGGGAATAAGGTTAAGGTATGTTTTGGACACATGGAGTTGATACATTCCTCGTTGCATGTATACAGTTTGATCTGGCTACATATGTTTTGTTTAATTAGTGTTCTTACTTTCTGGTTTCCGCACTCTTTAAATGTGTGGGTAGGTTGTGAATCGGATAAGTGAACAAATCATTGAAGAGCTCCAGTTTGATATAACAGCAGATTCAGCTTCGAGGGGCATAATTGGACTTTGCAGTGATGCCTCTGCGGGCCTTTATTATGCGTATGATCAGAATTCGATCTTCCAGGTCTGTTTTGGTATTTGGATTTTACTCGTTTATAATGATCAGAATTAACTACTTGAGTAAATTTCTTTGATTTCCTGTGCTTTCTCTTCTCATTTTGAGCTTTGGATATCTTCTCTAGGTTTCTGTGATTGACGAAAGCAGAGATATGTGGAAGGTTTACTTAGACTTAAAAGTTTATGCTGCAGCTTTAGCAAACTGTCGTGACCCTCTCCAGAGAGACCAAGTTTATTTAGTTCAGGTGACCTTTGATGTCCTTTACCATCTGTAAAGTTAATGGGACGATGCTTCTCATGCCGTACCAGTCATGCCTGCGTAGATACAGTTGGCTGAATGAATCCCTCTGGTTTATATTATGTATGACTTGGGCACCATCTCTTGTAGGCAGAAGCTGCATTCACCGACAAGGAATATCTACGAGCAGCATCATTCTATGCCAAGGTACTTTCTAGTCCCTTTGTTTTACTTTATTCTTACATAATATAATTCATTGTTAACATGGTTAAATGTTTTCTTTGCAGATCAATTATGTAATATCTTTTGAGGAGGTCACTTTGAAGTTTATTAGTATCAACGAACCGGTAAACGTTTACATTAGTATCTTTGCTAGTTTTAAATATATACCATATAGAAAACTCTTCACCAAACATCAAATCTCTATTCCCGTGCGTGCTTCAGGAGAGAAAAATGTGTTGTGCATGTGGGCTTGAATATTCAGTGCCTTTTATTCCTTATGTGATTGCAGGAAGCTTTGAGAACATTCCTGTTGCATAAGCTTGATACTCTTTCAAAGGATGATAAATGCCAAATAACAATGATATCAACATGGGCAACTGAGTTGTATCTGGACAAGGTTTAGCTTTTGCTTCTATGCACCTTTCATTCTCTGTTCTCACTTCTCAGTAAACACATATCTGGATATTTCTTATTTTCAATAAACGTTAGATACTTCTGTTATTTTTATAACTCGTTAAAAAGGTCTTTTTAATTCTTTGATCTGGTGTCATGGTTCCTCTTGTTGATTTGCTTTTCGTTTACTTTCTAAGTCTTTGTATCTAATTTCCCTGTTTCATGGTTTTTGAATGCGGATTTAGATAAACCGGCTGCTTTTGGAAGATGACACTGCTATAGAAAATCGTAACTCAGAGTATCACTCAGTCATTCAAGAATTCCGTGCTTTCATGAGCGACTGCAAGGATGTATTGGATGAGGCAACCACAATGAAACTTCTGGAAAGGTAAGTTCCACAAGTAACCAAGGGCCAAGGCAATGTATTTAAATCCATCTTTAAGCCAGTGAGCACTTGGACCTTTATGGTGTGTATTATTTTTGGGAATAAGCTATTCTCCTAAGGACTGTTTTAAGTACATCTCCTAGGATATCTTTCCTGCAGTATCAAACACCACCTGTCTTCTCTGTCTTTTTTTATTTCGTTTTTTTCTTCTTTTAGTTATGGTCGGGTTGAAGAATTGGTATATTTTGCAAACTTGAAGGAGCAGTATGAAATCGTGGTTCACCATTATATTCAGGTGAAGGGCGTGATAAGTTTTCTCTTATTGATTGATCCACGTAATTATAATATCTTGCTTAGACTTGTTCAGTTTACATTATGAGTTTTTTTCTTTATCCATTAGCAAGGGGAAGCAAAGAAAGCATTGGAGGTGCTCCAGAAATCTTCAGTTTCAGATGAGCTTCAGGTGTGTAAAAAGTTACACCAGGATCTTTTAAAATAGTGTAGTCTCAATCTTTGTTTCATCCTGAAACTATAATATAGTATGCACATTTCAGTATAAATTTGCGCCAGACCTTATCATGCTTGATGCGTATGAAACCGTGGAGGCATGGATGGCCAACAAAAATCTGAACCCGAGGAGACTAATTACTGCAATGATGCGTTACTCAAGCGAACCTCATGCAAAGTAATGGCCCACTTCGTAATTATATTCCATTCTTGTTCTGTTATTAATCTCACCAATAACTCCGCAAATCAAAATGCAGGAACGAGACACATGAAGTCATAAAATATCTTGAGTTTTGCGTCCAACGTTTGCATAACGAGGACCCAGGGATTCACAATTTACTTCTCTCATTATATGCTAAGCAGGTTTGGTTGGTTCCCTTCGATAAATTTTCTTTGATTTAGTCCCTAAAACCTTAGAAGCCTCTACTTACGAGAAGCAACATTAATGGTTACTGTCGTATTTCTCTCTTTTTCCACCTGTAAGATTATAACAAGAGTATACTAAAGTGAGACAGAATGGTTTTTTTTTTTTGTATATCCAATTAGGAAGATGATAGTGCCCTCCTCCGTTTCCTGCAATGCAAATTTGGGAAAGGACGGGAGAACGGCCCTGAATTTTTCTACGATCCCAAATATGCGTTGCGTCTATGTCTCAAGGAAAAGAGAACTCGTGCCTGTGTCCATATATACAGCATGATGTCTATGCATGAAGAGGCAGTGGCCCTTGCTCTTCAGGTAACAATTCCATAATATAAAAAATCAAGTATTATTCACTTCCATTTTCTATGCGTGATCTTTAGATTATGATATTTTGTGACAAAACTTATGATTCCAATTTGTCTCAGACCGTTTGGTTGGTTGAGAATTTTAATCCAAACTTTTTTACGGTAGTGGTTGAAAATGGTTTCTGTTTTACAGATTGACCCAGAACTTGCTATGGCCGAGGCTGATAAGGTTGAAGATGATGAAGACTTGAGAAAGAAGCTGTGGCTGATGGTTGCAAAGCATGTCGTCAAGCAGGAAAAGGGAGCTAAAAGGGAAAACATAAGGAAAGCGATTGCCTTTCTCAAGGAAACTGATGGCCTTCTAAAGATTGAAGATATTTTGCCATTCTTTCCGGACTTTGCCTTAATTGATGACTTCAAGGTTAGTCACACAAAAAGGCTGTCTTGGGCCAGACAAGTTTCTTTTGCTCTCTCATTATCTTCTTCAATATCCTTGTGCAGGAAGCGATTTGCTCATCTCTCGAAGATTACAACAAGCAAATAGAACAATTGAAAGAGGAGATGAATGATGCCACACGTGGTGCAGATAACATTAGAAATGATATTAGTGCACTAACTCAAAGATATGCTGTAATCGACCGTGACGAGGAATGCGGGGTATGATCATCCTGAGATTAATAGCCTTTATCTAACGTCTACACATATATATAGATACGAATCAAGTTTTCTGAAGCACCAAAATCACCTGCACAACTTATATCCTTTTCAATGTATTACCAGGTTTGTAAACGTAAAATCTTGATGATGACTGGGGATTTCAGAATGGCCCAGGGATATTCTTCAGCTGGACCATTGGCTCCTTTCTATGTCTTTCCTTGTGGGCACTCTTTCCATGCACAGTGTCTGATCACACACGTCACAAGCTGTGCGCACGAAGAGCAAGTAAGTCTCGAACCATGAGATCTTCTTATGAGTTCCCTCTGCGTATTAGATACTGCAAATTTTAGCGATTCAGGTGTTCTAGAGTTTGTGCTATGATGAAACTACCATAGGAAATATTGACTTTACCAGTAGCTTAGTTCTTAATTCTACTTTTTCAGCATTACATAAATCTCAGGAATTTATTATCCAATGTTGAAATTGGGATTTTATTTTGGATTGGTTTTCCAAAAAATGTGTTTAGGCCGAGCATATACTCGATCTTCAGAAGCAGCTGACATTGCTTGGTAGCGAAACCCGGAGGGATATAAACGGTAATCGATCTGATGAACCCATAACTAGCACAACTACTGCAGACAAGGTAAGGACATTTGTTTTAATTTTCGTTTTCCTTTTTTATCTCTCTTGACATTACTCAGTGGCTTGACATAATTTCGTTACCATGAGGCAGCTTCGATCAGAGCTAGATGATGCTATTGCCAGCGAATGCCCGTTCTGTGGAGAATTAATGATCAATGAGATCACTCTGCCTTTTATTAAACCTGAGGAAACACAACATTCTGCTTCATGGGACCTCCGACCACAGACCAACTTAGCAAACCAGAGGACCATTTCTTTGCCTGTTTGATTGATGTCACACTGTCATTTCCTTTTCGTGTGATCTCTTCTTCAGCTTGCTGTGGAGTGTGAATGAATGTGATTTTGAGTGCTCTATTATCGATGTAATATTATTATTAAACATGCTTCTGGAGATACATACAATAAGCTTGCTCACCTACTTGTGCCTCTATATCTAAATGTCTTTCTTGACTATTATTTCGATCTGAAAGATCATTTTGTTATCCATGATTTTGCATCAGTGGCGCGATTCTTCCTCGGCGTCAAAATCTTTTTCTGCCGATATTTTCTTTGCCAGAGCCTGCTTGCTCCAGCGCTTCAAGTCATAGGCTCTCTTGAAAGGTTTCTTCTCCCTGGTAAGTCTTCTCTTTGTAATAGCGATTGCAAGATCGTTTGGGAACAAAGTTCGCCAGACAAAGGCGTGGAGAAGCGTGGAGACAAACAAAACACAGACCATCGCCGAGGAAATGAAGGACAGAGTGAGCGCTAGAGCCCGGCTCGGGTAACCGGGTACTGCCTCTGCATACTTTATTGTTGCTACTGATGCTGTTGTCATAGGGAAAGTGTATGACCACSACGCCACTGAAAACCTGTACATCCCTTAGCCAATTAGTTGCATCAATACATATTAAACCAAGAAATTATAGATAAACCTTAGATGGACTTACTTAAACCCAGTGAAGAAATTGATCCGTACTACAAGGGAAATGTATAGGAAGAGTGCAATGAAGAAGCATGTTCTTGAACATCCGTCGAATTGGCCATAGATTGTGTTCCAAGCGATACTTGCAGCTGACGGGGCCGCTATGAACATAGAGTAGACAGGATGAAGCTCTTTAGGCAGAGCTTCACTTGTGGGAAGCCTTTGATAAAGTGTTACAAAAACAACTAGGTAATGTGCAAAACCGACTGCCCATAGAAACTTAGCTACTTCATTCCATCCAACTTTTGAAGCTAAGATGGCCCCGACGAAATTCCCTACGATAGAAAGATGAGAAGATGGGTTTGCGACTTTGCAGAGTCGTCTTTTCCCTCCGGAAAGCCATTGCCCGTAAATCTTTAGCTCAAGGAAAAAATAAGGAGCCATGAAAACACACCAAATTGCGGGATGGAGGGATTGTCGGTTTGATGAGAACACAGGAGGTACGCTGATGGCTAGGAACATGCAAACAACCCAAGGAGCAAAGAAGAAGTTGACACGAACCGGATGAAAATACTCTCTTTTGACAGCTTCGAAGTAGAAGATGCATTTCAGTATGTAAGTGAAGGAGACAGAAACTAAGGCTACTAGTGACAAGAGCCATACAGCTAAGTTTATCAATGGTGTGATGTGTAAGAAGTTTGTAGCGGGACTTTTCGCTAAAGCAAGCCACAAGACAGCTTGACTGCTAAGTCCTAAGCAGATACCGAAGCATCCAATCGGGAACCTTAGAAGAAACGGCCATTGTTCCTCTTTTGGAAGCAAAATATCTTCATTATCCTGCAAATGAATACAATTGGAACTTACTAAGCTGTGAACGGA